TACTGAACAGGTAGCCAGCTCAGTGAACTCGATCGTCATCTTCTAAGTAAAAGTGAGGGTTCAGTGGTAACATCTCCAGCTGCAGCCCTGGATGACACGGGTTCGAACCCCAGGCGGGACACCAGTTTCTCGAAGTTTACAGGTTCGCCTTGCTGATAAGTTCCAAAAAGCGCGAAACCTAGGTCCAGAACTTACTACCAATTGCCTGCATCAAACTAACATATTTCAATATTTACCGCGATGCTGAGCCTCCTAACTTGGTGGCCACATCGTAAAATGTTCGACAGAACTCGGTCAGTACTCAGGACCAATGAAAATATTTTTTCGCTCGATTTGTTGTTTGTGAAATGATTCAATAGGAATTTTAACTGTACTTTTGTGTTAAAGGTCCTCAACGAGTATCTGAAGTACAACGCAAGGCTCAGTAAAGCGAAGACATGTGTAGATTTTACTTTTGAGTATAAAGAAACAAACCACTATCCGAAATCTCATTGTAAAGCGTTACGATATATGCTAAATCATATTGACTCTGACTCTCTCACAGCGTGTCACTGAAACGACGTCTCAAAAAGACTGTATTTTATAGATCTTCCTGATAACTTGAAACAACCTTTTGTGGACTAAATAAACCAAATCAGTGGACAAAAAAGATAAAAGAAACAAATGTAACTTATTCGAAGCGTCGTAAATCGAACCTCAGAAGTGAAATTCCTTTCTAGTTCAAGTCAGTATGTGATTAATTTTTCTAAATGTTGATCTTCATATGGTCGATTCAGAAGTATTATCCCAAAGTTCTAAGCTCTACAACAGTCACATTTAAGCTAATACAATAAATAAGCAAGTTCATTCCGAAAACCTTTTCACACAGCAATAAGACATTGCTTTTTTCAAGTGAAGAGTTAGAAAAACTAAAATCAATTTTTGTTGATGATTACTATCGTTTGCAATCTGGGCTGCCTTGCTAGGTTCAAACATGGTGCAGACATTCCATGTCCTCACGTTTACTTTCGCTTTCATCGAGAGAAGACACATCGGCCAATTGGCTTCCCGAAGGCTTTCACCAACTGGCGTCATTTCGCCTCTCTGATTCCAGTGAGGAATAATTTTGTTATTATTTTTTATATATCGTTTGTGCTTTGAAGTTTCTTTAACGGTTAGATTTGTTTTACGGGGTAGGGTTGCTAGCCCTATGCCCAACCTTCCCTGTATACCCGGGCTTAGGACCGGCTAGTAACTAGTGAACTAGTTAACCAGGCGAGGTTGATGATTGCTGTAAATGCAAAAAATAGTAAACTGAGTACCAATGGTATCTTAATTCAAACATGAAGTATAGATAAATGAGGATTCGCTAAACAATGAGACAGATACAACTACGGGAGTGGTTATCTTGAATAAGTTGGATTACTTGGATAAAAGAAGCGCTTTGCTAAGTGACCACAACAAGTTTGAGAAAATATCGAGAAATGTCAATTGGATAGAAATGACGGGAAAAGAGCTGATTCGTTGCAAAACAGATGTAACAAGACTTCAGCTCACAAAGTTTGCATGCAGTGCTAAAAACCACCAGTATTATAAAGCCAAGACCATGTAGTTATTCGAAAATGCAAGAAAATATACCACGCCTTCGAAGAGTCCATGACATACCATACTCACGGTACCATGTGCCGGCTAAATGGTCAAAATAGCTTCACATAAAAGTTGCAAGACACAGTAAGGATGACAGTGTTTAGTGAGACTATAGCGGAAGATGAACTCGCAATTAATTCTCGGGAGAGACGACTGTGACGGTAGACGCAACAATTAGACTGGCTTCCAGTTATTCTGTTGCCCGCTATCCACTGAGATATTGAATGGAACACTAAGTTAACGCCTCCAACGAGAAAACTGTATAAAACCTGTAAAGAGGAAGAACATCAGGACCAGAGGGAGGACTATCGGTCAGGTTGTGCTCGCTAGTGTATGGGAATCAAACACTACCCAATCTCACTGGTCCCAACTACTGATTTTCCCAGTCTTCAATAAAGGTCAGAAGTCCTTTTGTCATAACCACAGGGGAATCAGTCTGACGACCATAGTGTCTAAGCTTGTAGGTTCTATAATTATCAGACGTCTAAATGAAACTCAAGAACAACAAACTTGAGAAAACCAGGTAAGTTTCAAACCTGGTCGCGTGTTGAACAAGTATTCAATCTTGTCACAGGAGATTCCTTAGTAGATCTAGAATATGCAAATAACGTAGTCCGTAGTGAAGAGGCTAGCAAAATGCAGTCTTCTAGGTATAATAGGTGTCAACTTGAGAATGTTTGGGATGCACTCCTCAGCACCCAAATCCAAACTGTCGCTTCAGGACTAGTCTTCAATGGCGCCTCGAGTAACAATAGAGTGAAGTGGTCGACTCCTTCGTATAACTAGGAAGTCAGATCAACCTTGATACATCAGTCACCGACGAAATATCCACATGGATACAAAAGAATTGCTGGACTCGTACCAACTTACCCAATATGTGGTACCGCCACGAAATACGATTGTCTATTCAGAGTTGATTGTACTGCAGTTTTACTCTATAGCCATGTAATATGGTTATTAGAGGCAGAGGATACGAAAATAACTCAGGTGTCCTAACACTGTTACCTTCGCAGCACAGGCCATGTGTCATGGTGCTACCACATAAGTAAATTAGAAGTCAGATGTGGAATTTTAGGGAGTCAATCTAGGTGACTGAGACATATGTTACGTAGGCCTAGTAGCCACCTGACAAGTCGCACAATGCTAAATGAAGTAGGTCAGGCTGAATAAAGGTTAGAGGTGGTCAGACTAAAATATGGTATTACTCCCTGAAATCTTTGATTATCTGTCTGAGCCGAGTGGGGAAATACAGAGTTCTCGGTTGGTGTCCACAGGACAACATAAGTCGGCGCTTGGAGACTCTAAACGATGTGGCTTGAGACCAATTTCAATGGTACATATGTATCTAAACACTATATTCATCTTAATCATCATACCTAGTTTCACTAGTTTCTCATTGCTCTCTTTTAACGACTTCCCGCCACTTTTGGCTGCTTCTTTCTTTCATCTCAGTGCATTCTCGCCTGATGTTTTGATATGAGTGATAATTTGGACTGCTACGCAGTAATACCAAGTCCTATGTTGATACTGTTTGTCCGTATGAAGAATAAATTCCAGTTTGTTGACATAATAATAGCTTTGAATGTGTAGAATAAGTACATGATACCTCTTAAAGTACCATCGTTACTCACTGATGTATCCTTGACACAAATAGTAAACTTTGTATGTACTTAACTGTATCTTGAAAAATTGGGATCTCTATATCTTCCCTGAAAGCTTTCACTTTAGGTACAGTGAATGTACATTTTCTCATTTATAAGTAATTCCATAGACAGTCTCATGCTTTTGGTATGGAATCACCGCTAAGGTTAATGAGAGCGGACTTTATGCCAGCGAAATTACATAATAGCAGTGTTTTGGAAGATGTAATTCGGAGGTTAAAATTCTATTCCTCTTCTTTGATGGTATATTCATGATTATGAATAATGGATATGATGCCATTAAAAAACACGATAAGCTCAACTAACAAAACTTCATTCTCACAGAAATCAAAAGTGCTCATTTCCATAGTTGAGTATTAATTTTTTTAATGCCTAAAATCACAATAAAAAGTCACAAAAACTTCATGAAATCATAATCGTGATTGAGTTGAGGAAATGTTTCTTCATCGCCTTTCTAACTAAAGGAAGTTTTGATGATGCCGGCAGAAATATATCCATAAATGTTAGTTAGTAACAATGACAGTAAATGCAGTATATAACAGAAAAGTAACACAAACACAAACAATGAACAAGTGTCTGTGCGCAGAAAGCATGAAAATAATTAGGGAATACAGAAGGAAGGCAAGACATCCTCATTATCAATAGTCTCAACTGTGAGTTAAATCCTGCTTTACAGTGCGAAAGAATAATAATAAACAATTATCGATAAATGAATAAAAATAAACTTTCAAGGTGTATTGTGTAAGTATGCAGACAACAATTATATTTTATTTAATTAGAGCTTTGTAATATTGTGACTGGTTTTCATTGAGTAGAAGACTTAGCAGTCAGTTAACAATCTATGCAACATCGACATATCCCCTCTAAATAACAGAACGATGGAAAACAAGTTAATTAGCTAGAAACAATTTATCCATACAGTTCATGACCGTTGAAAGTGTACGAATAAAGTACACATACATATGTCTCTGTGTGTATACGTGCACTTTTCAACCCATTTGTATCAATGTCATTATCAGACCAATACAGTTAGACTGTAAACACGAAATCCTGAAGGCAGGTCATAAGCTAAACACAATCAATAACCACTGAAGTGCAAAAATATTATTGTCCGAAAACAAAAACAAGTCAAAATAACACAAATGTGAACTAACCGGGCGACTTTAAAGACCACTCAATCAACTAACAAAATAATCAATCAGATTGTGACGTTTTGGCTGAGATAATTTTTCATAGAATTCAGAAATGTGATTGGCTATTTCATCTGTTGCTAGGGTGGCGCATTTAAAGCCGCTTAATTAACCAACAGTAATTACGTGAATAGTTAAGGCACACGAAGAAAAGAAGTACACTATCAACTCAATATTAAATAAATAAACAAATGGATAGGATAAAAAAAGGTATCACGCACACACAAAAAGGTATACATATAAACGTCTGATATCAAAATGAAGGGCGTTTTAATTCAGAAATAAAAAAGGCGAAGGTTGTAATCTCAAATTTGATACTTTGAAAAGGCACAAGATCTCTTTCTCTGACCATCATCATGAGAGATGCTGAGACAATAAGAAACAGTACAACCTCTTAAATTTACACATCGTTTGATGTATTTAAATGCTTTATGATATTTCTCTGAATTCAAAAGTGTAAGTGTGCATGACTGGTTGCATTTTCTTCGCTTCCTCTTCGTCTTAAAGATGTTACACAGTCAATTCATACGATAACACATAAAGTCCGACGTTTCGGTTCAAGCATTAAAAGCTGGAAAAAGGATTAAATAAAACATCAAGTAATTGAAATAATAACAATAAACAAGAGAAACAATCATAAGTATATCATGAATTCACTGACTAGCAACGGAGAATAGAATCAGTCTATGAAATATTTTATCAACCTCAGGAAAGAAAACTAATGCAACAAACCTTTAGGAAAAATATGAAGCGCTATAAAATTAACGTGTCCTATTTTTAGGATGAAATGAAAAGGAATAGAAAGTAATTTTCAGGAACAGATCATCAAACAGATAGACAGATATGAAGGTATCCTGACCAACAATAGACTGGATGGTTTGATAGACAGATAACTCAACGTAAAACCTCGCGTATAAGTGCATTGGTTCAAGACGTCGCACTTCACAGTAGTACACAAAGTTGTGTGACACAATGAATTAGTGCAAATATTTGAGCTTTATAAGACGTCAAAGAGTGAATGAATCTGCGTCATTGTGACTGATTCTCAGCCATGTTATCAACACTTTGTTCTCAGCTACTGGTTCCTATCGTCTCGCCAACCTCAGATAGGTAGTCTACATCTCCCAACACAGCTCAGATCAACGGTAAGGGACTCCATGGATTCGTGTAAAGTCTTCGTCTGATCACCTTGAACACTTTTCCAATGTAATCCAACATTCCCCAGCCTACCATGGCACGTCGAAGTAGGCCATGGCTCGACGTGAACAACACATGTCCAAGCTATCTCAGTCGACTAAGCTTCACAAACTCATCAGTCAACTTACCTAGTACTCTTAGCCTGATCTCAACATCGCTCATATAGGGATCCCACCATATGCGAGCCATGCTACTAAGACATCTGTGATTAAAACCATGTAACCACTTCATGTTTTCTACTTCCAACAAGTGTTTCACAACCGTATAATGGAACACAACGGACGGCAACGTAGTATACTCATCCTTCGACAGATAATCGGATATCCCGCTAATCGGTGAGATTACGGGTTGATGCAACTCCTTAGTTAAGTGAAGCGGTCATCACATTCTACCACTTCACTCCCAACCACTAAACTGGTAGTACTTCCAGACCATTCCTGGAGCATCATCCTACATTTCACTTTCACAGGCGCAAGACATGCCAAACATACTCAGATTTGTACTCAACGTGTTCAGAACACCCTGCATTCTGTTAGCATCTTCACCTAGCAGGATAATATGGTTCGCATACTCCAAGTCAACCAGATGGCTTCCAGAGAGTAGATCAATCCCTATGAAGTCAAACATCTTATTCGTCAGATGAAAGGGAATAGAAAGTAATTTTTAGGAAGAGATTCACTAACTAGTACTTAGTATCCAGTGGAAATACAACCAGTGAACTACAGCTACAAATTACTTTGCTGCAGTTCGCTTGAGGAGTAGTGACATTAATAATCTGTATATGTTATAGAATGTTTTCTTTGATCACCATCTCTAAATGTTTTGAAATGAATGACTGATTAATTTTGAAATTAAGCATACGGAAACGGATAAATAAAGCCCCGTACTTAGTAAAATAACAAACAAGATAACGAGTTGATGAAACCATAGTTAACAACAGTTCATTACCTCAGGAAACAATCTATCATACTATAAAACAGAGAAAATTGGTAGTTTGAGCAGCTTATCAGTACAGCTCAAAGATGACTTTATGATAGTAGTTAACATTCCTACTCCTCAAGAGTTTTTGCTTCGCAGTATTTCTTTCCCGTGTAAAGCCTGCAATTGTGACACAATGCATGACACATGACATTTCTGCGTGATCCTTCTCGCTGATTAGCCCACAATGTTAGTGGAAAACAGCTGCTAAATCACAGTCCGATTTCCCTGCTACATCAATAACTCTTATGAGGAAAACTGACAATAGGTTTATTATTTTGACTATCTAAGATAGCCATAGTTTGGCGGACTAGTATCGATACTGGGTAATGATTGAAAGTAAAATGAAAGTCTGGGTCGCGGCTGGAGTCCAAACTAGTGACCGCCGGGTTTCCGGCTCGATGCTCTACTAACTGAGCTACGAGGTCCGACTGCTGAACAGATTTTTATTTCACTTCAATCACCAAGGTTTTTGCCCGACTACCATGTGAATTCATCATGCGTTACTACCGCTTGATCGTATTCACATTGTCTGTCTAGGTTTACACTTAATCATGATTAACAAGTTTGTAAAAATCAGCATTAAAAAACTCTGGATTTCCCATGTCACTCAAACAAACGAGAAAATAAGTGGGACAGAAAAATAGATGTGCAACAGACTGAAAGCGGTTACAAGTTTTTGGTCACGCATGTTTTTATAGCATTGCTCGCGTTTGGTGGAATCACTGTGTGAGCAATGTTGAGGTCAGGGGAAGGGTAGTGTGCTAGGCAAGATAGGCAAGTCAATCGATGAGGTCGTGAACCTCCATTGATTGAGGTGACTTGAATATGTGTTGTGCATGCTCAGTCACCGCCTACCTCGATATGCAGTGCTAGGGAATGTTCGATTAGGTAGAAGGAAGGAGAAGAATGGTCAGACCAAGACGTGGCACCAGTCTATGAAGTCTCTGACTGTTGGTCTGAGCCATGTGGGGAGGTTTACACTACCTAGCTAGTGTCTCCAAGATGATGGGAATCAGTGATTGTGGACAGACTGCTAGTGAGATGGATGAGAATCGGTCACAATGACACAGATGTATCCACTCCTTGATATCTTCAGATTGCTTATTCTCCCACACAACTTTGTCTTCGTTGATATAAATGAGTCTTTTTCTATCGACCTGTTCTTTGTGTACTACTTTGAAATGTGGTAACTTGAACTGATGCGGTTGTATGAGAGGTTCTATGTTTATTTTGCCTGTCATCTGTGTAGGTGCTTACGATGTCACTTGAGTAGTTAGATTAAGTGTAGTTAGAATCACTCTAGAATTCAACTATGTGGACCACTAATTCACATCACTACTGCCTTATTCTCTCATGATAGTGACCAATTCATAGTCAGACATATAACATTATCAACAAAGTAACCAACTAAGAACCGTTACATTTTTAGCTTAAATAGGGTGAAAGTATACAACCGATGACTACGCATTTACAGTTTGTGTGAGAAATAGACAATGCAGAACATAAATAGTAAAGATGTACGCACTACTATACTATTTAATTATTATTCTGATATCAGCGAAGTAAAAATATTCACATCGAAGTATATTGAGTGAAACAGTCAGCTGTTAGACATTTTACATGTTGTCGACAAGATCATTTGAGTCTCAAAATGAAACCACGGTGGTTTACATTTTGAATAAGATAAAATGGATACAGAACTAGGAATGCAGAAGCACCTCTACGAAACTTTATAACCCCGTATAGGTTGATAATCTAACCGCAAACTGCAACTGAGTTGTGATGGCGTATGAAGCTATCCGATCATCCATACCGGAGTATACGGAACACGGGCCAAGCGCGTCATTCATCATTTGGTGATGGGAAATCCAGGCTTACTAGTCAACATACTTAGCTTAGTCATACGCACATATACGCAAGGATATAATTTTGCTGTATTATCATTATTACAGTAATTAAAACACGTGAACTTTTCATTCGCTCACAAACATATTACGACTATTTAAGACTTGAAATTATGGTATGGTAAAATAGCTGATTATTAGTGAGTCCTATTGTTTGAACTTTGGTTTCGAAGTCGTTTAAACACTTACTTAGTACTTCCAAGCCATCCAAACAGCGAACAGTAGTCAAAAGGTCAAAGAATACAACATCCCAAACTGGAATAACTCTAATTTACTACTAGTGAATATGACACCAAATAGGTACAACAGTCGTTTGATGTACGATCATCGTAATCTAGCTAGTAAATACTGTAGATTGGTGTAAATAGTATCTGATCCCTTAATTCGATCACCAGTGAGGTGGAAAGTAAAAATACCTGTATCGTACCACTGAAAGACAGATTGCTAACTGCTAGGACCTCATGAACCTTAGGACAGGTAATACATGTCCGCAAAGATCCGATTGACAGCTAATGATTCAGCCAACTGCAGTCACGTCATGATCTACGTCATCTTGGCTTCTTAGCAATCTGGTACTACATCAAAAAACGCGTAGTGAATTGTTTTGTACTGAACCACACGACAAAACAGTTGTTTTAGATGATAGCACACTATGAAGTTTCTAAATCCTCAACGACTGACTTACCCTTCTAGACAAAAGCTCAGCTCACCCCGTGACTCCACTCCATGCGCGCAATGCTTCGAAGTCATTCACAAACTGCCCAGAGATATTGAAGTAAATTAGTAGTAGAATCTGAAGTGAGTGTCCCGACCTGGACAAGTTCCAAAGGGTATGAGTACCTCTTCGCCAACTGCGACAAAAAATCTGAGTCTAATACTCCAAATAACCTCGCCTGGTTAACTAGTCCACTAGTTACTAGCCGGTTCTAAGTCCGGATAAGGATGGAAGGTTAGGCATAGGACTACCAACCCTACCCCCAGAAAACCAATCCAGCCGTTAATGAAACTTCTAAGCACAAACAAATATCAAAAATGAAAACAAAATTATTCCTCGCCGGAATTGGAGAGACGAAATGATGCCGGTTGGTGAAGGCCTTCGGGAAGCCAATCGGCCGATGTGTCTTCTCTCGGTGAAAGTGAAAGTAAGGATGGGATGGAATGTCCGCACCAAGATTGAACCTAGCAAGGTTGCTCAGACTGCAAAGGAGATGAGAAGGTATAGCATTGAAGTGTTAGGAATCTGTGAAAGCAGGTGGAATGGAAGTGGACTCTCCAAACTATCAACTGGAGAGGAGTCAGTAATCTACTCCGATATTGTCACCCAGACGACAACCACGAGCACAAAGTTTCCGAGTGGCCCTCATGATGTCCCCAACAGCATCAAAGGCTCTCATGCAGTGGGAACCAATCTCCTCTAGGATCATGACATCAAAATTCAAATCAAAAGGAAGGAAAGTTGCAATCATTCAATGCTACGCACCTTCAAATA